GGTTAAATAAAATGGACTTTTTTTTTTAAAACTCACGTCATAGTTCAAAGCAGAGTTGAAAAAGGACTTTGCTCCAAGCATCATCCTGAAACCTGGATAACTTGCACTGTATGATTTTGCTGTCTTCTGGGACCCTTATCTGTCTTCACTGGTAAGTAGGTAAAAGAACAGGGATAGAGAGAGAGAGTACAGGGGGTAAAGTGCTTCTCTTGCATGTGACTGATCCTGGGTTCGGGGGACCATATAAGGTCCCCTGAGCATCACCAGGCGTAACCCCTGAGCACTGCTGGGTGTGTCCCAAAATTTAAAAAAGAAAGAAAGAAAGAAAGAAAGAAAGAAAGAAAGAAAGAAAGAGAATTATCATATGTAAGGTGTGTTTATTTGTTGTTTTTGGCCAGACCTATAAATCACTATATATTATTCATGTTTTTTTGGGGGGGCGGGGGGCGGGCTCAGGGCTACACCTGGCAATGTCCAGGGCTTACTCCTGGTTCTATGTTCTACACTCAGGAATCATTCCTGCATGCTTGGGGGACCATTTGAGGTGTTGGGAATTCAGCCCAGACTGACTGCACGCAAGACAAATGCCCTGCTCATTGTACTTAGCCCTCCAGCTCTCGTTCATGTTTCTACTCTGATGGCCACAATTTGTTTATATAGCCTCCATGTCATCTTGCTACGTATGTGCCCAGAAGAAAACCGGATCTGGTGACTATTCAGACTGTTCAACCACCATACCCAGGTTGCCTCCACGCCCAACTAGCACACTCAGATAATGATATCTTTTCTCACGTGTTCTTATGGACCTGTATGAGAGTAGAATCACACACCTAGCAACAGGATTTAAAAAAATTTTTTTTAAATTGAATCACAGTGAGATACACAGTTACAAGGTTGTTTATGATTGCGTTTCATTAATATAATGCTCCAATACCCAGTGTACATTTCCCACCACCAATGTCTCCAGTTTCCCTAACCTCTTCCCACCCATGTCTGTGGCAGGCACTGCTTTTCGCTCTCTCTTTCTCTCCCTCTTTTTCTCTCCCCCTCTTTCTCCCTCTCTCTCTTCACACACATATACACACACTCTCTCCTCTCTCTCTCTCTTTCTCTATCCTGCTCTCTCTTTCTCTCACTCAGAACAGAATTTTTAGATGAGGCAGATGCTGTTTGAATAACCCACTCAAAAACCATCAGACCTCACCATTTTGGTAGAGTTGCCCAAAGTGTGAATCTGCAAGCTCCTGCATCTCTGTACCTGAGGCAGTGTTCTTGGCTTCTAGAGCCTGCTCCTCAAGGGAGCCAGAAGTCCAGGAATTAATCTTTCCCTAAACTCAGAGTTCTAAGTCCCAACCAACAATGAGGAGGTTTATGTATAAATACCCTAGCCCCCTTATTACGAAAGGGTCTCACTGCAGAACACGATGTTTTAGTTGCCCACACTCACGATTGCTTAATTATGTCGCTTTATTTTATTTCTTTATTTTATTTATTTTTGGGGCGTGGGGGGTTGGGCTACACCTGGAAGTACTCAGGGCTTACTCCTGGCTCCTTGTTCAGTGCTGGTCATTGAATTCAGATCTGCATGTGCAAGACAAGAAAAGACTTACCTGCTGAACTATTTCTCCCAACTCTTTTTAAAAAAACAAAAATAACAATAAAGCTTTAATTGATTTCATCTCTTCTCTCTCACTCCCTGCTGCGTGAAATTTTCTCCCTAGTAGTCTTCTTGAACATTAAACTCTTTAAAAAAAAAACTCTTGTCTTAGGAGTTAAACCTCTGGATCATGGGATCTATATAGGCTGGGTGGGCTAGAAAGGGATCACCGTATCTTCATACTCTTGCATAGAGATTCTTACTTTTCTATACTCTGGCAGCTTTGGGATTCATCTCACAGTTTTATTTTGTGTTTCTCTGATTACTAGTGAAATTGAGAGCTTCCACCGACTTGTGAGTCATATGTTTCTCTCACTTTTGGATTTCCTGATAGTGTTCTTTTCCATTCTATCAGGGTTACTTGTTTTCCTTGTATATTTTAGGTTTTAATTGCTCTTTGGTTTTTGATGTCGCAAACATCTTCCAGGCTGATGGTTATGTGCTAAATCATATATTTGGTTCCCCATAAACCTTACTAATAGAAACCTTAAAACATTAGCATATAATTTGATATAATCTATAGTGCACATTTGGGAGTAATCTGGTCTACAGCTATTTCCCAATGAAAGTCACAAAATTACCTTCTATGATCTTCCTTTCCGACGGAATTATATCATGGCACCCTGTAGGGTTTATTCCTACTTGTCACAGGTCAGGTTCTCAGAAAGCAGAAGGTGAGATGAACTTTGGAATGTGAAAAATGTATTGGGGATTTGCAGCTATGACAGGGCAGGGGAGGAAGCAGGACCATCCGGAGAAAGTAACTGAATTTAGGTGCAGATTGACAAAGCCTCAGACAACTCAGTTAAGCTCTTTAAAGCACCGATTAACCTTTAGAGTAACCTTCTCAGGCTGAAATAGCCAGGTTTTTATTATCTATTTATCTATATGTTTTAAGGTCACACCCAGCGAGAGGTATGGATGGAGCCATAGCACAGTGGGTAGGGCATTTGCCTTGCACCCGATTCCTCCGTCCCTCTTATGGGAGAGACCAGCAAGCTACCGTGAGTATCCCGCCCGCACAGCAAAGCCTGGCAAGCTCCCCATGGCGTATTTGATATGCCAAAAACAGTAACAACAAGTCTCACAATGGAGACATTACTGGTGCCCGCTGGAGCAAATCTATGAACAATGGGAGGACAGGGCTACAGTGCCGTACTATTTATCTATCTGTTTTAAGGCCACACCCAGAGATGCTCAGGGGCTATCTCTCAGGGTCCTAATATGCCAGAAGCAGCAGCCTACCAGCTGTCAGCAGGGAGTAGTCCCCACCAAGCACCGCCAGTGGGGCCCAGAAACAATAGCAACAAAAACTGGTCCAGGTGTGGTCCAAAAAAACAAAGGAAAAGGGCTGGTTCTATAGCCGGGTTGGCTGGATTTGGTTGAATTTACACAGTTCCCACTTTTATATCAGAGTTGACTTCTAAAGTCCTTAGGAGCCTCTGAATCTACATGGCTAAGACTTATTAAGAGATTACGATGATTTATTATTTACCCTTGGTTTATTTACAAATTAATTAAAACTGGAAAATATATTAGCTATGAACTGGACTTAAATGTTTCTTTCTTGGAAACTTTAGGAAACAGGCTTCCTTGGAGTAGCTTTAGGAAGACTCAGGCATGCATAGGAAGGCCTTGACAGACTGAAAGCTTAAAAAGACTCAAATCCACCATCTAGCGGCAAAGAAAGAAAGTTCCAGGTTGGCGATGTAAGATGTCGAGCAGGAGAGTGATCCATAACAACCTTCTCTCTCATTTGTCCTTTCTCCCCTCCCCACTCAACCCTGTCTTTTGAACACACGAATCCAGTCCTTCCGGATTCAATCTCCTGCTCACTCGACAGTATTCTTAAGCCGATGGAACAGGACAGATTTGGGGGAAGGCGTGGGGAAAATGGGTCTTTTAAGATTTGGGGGCAGGAAAGTGCCTTTTTGTTCCTCCGTCTCCAGCCACTTGGAGCAAGAGGCCCGCGCGTGCCCTCTGCGTCCACACAGTCACGTCATTCATCGGAGGTAGCGAGCCCGGCCACCACCTTAAAACCAACACACCAAGGGGAGCCTCGATGTCCCTAGCGCTTAAGGACCTTGTTTTCCCCAACTACAGTGATTGAAATGTAGTCTTTTAAGTTTGAATTTAAATATTTAAAAGCGGGAAGGCACGGTCTGTAATCTTAAACCCGAAGGGTTCAGGAAGAGGCCACACACAGTCTACGCCGGTCAATCGGGAAGTTTTCCCGGTTGACCTCGGTTTGGTTATTCCCGCTCCTTTCTCCTTCTCAGCGTTTCCCTCTCCCCGAGTGGAACCCTCAGCATCACTCTGAAACCAAACAGGTAGCAGCCGCGCACTCTGCGGGGCCCGCTCACCTCGTTCGGGAGTGACTGTAAATAAAATTCTGTTCGCTGTTGAAAATATTTGTCCTATCCTGAAAAATGCAATCAAGCCATTTGACCAAAAAAAAAATCTTGCTTCAAGATCGCGGATGAAGGCTTCTTTTGAAAAACGATTCCCATTTTGGCACGGTGTCCTTCCTTACACACCGTCCCACTCCTCACAGACAGCTTGGCCTCGGATCAGACTTGCTGGTAGAAAACCTGATTTCACTTAAAACGCCAGGGTTCAATTTTATTATTTAATTTATTGATTGATGTTTCGCGTGCAAGGGTGCGCGGATGAACGCGGTGGCTCAGTCTTCCCGGGGGACTTAGGTAAAACGTTAGCGCCTTCACCTTTGCAAACTTGGAGCTCGGCGCCTGCTGCCCCGGCATCCGGGCACTTATTCATCATCATTCTGCTTCTCCGATCGGCTCCGGGAGGAGCAGTTTCGACTGAGAAGTTCCGAGCAGCAGTTACCACGCAACTTGCAACAGTTGGTGTCCGGCCATAGGAAGGTTGGAACGGATCCACGCGACTGTATTTATTTATTTATTTATTTATTTATTTATTTTGGAAACAAAAAAGCCCCTGGAAGGGGCAGCGCTGGCCCTGTGCCTGGGGGCTGGGGGTGGGGAGGGGGGGAACAAGGCGGCAGCGCGGGGCTGCAGGGAGGAAGGCGCCTCCGGGAGCCCAGGGAGGTGGCGGCGGCCACGGCCGGGACCCTCCCCCGAGCCCCGAGCTCCCGGGCCGGCGGCGGCGGCGGCGGCGGCGGCGGGGGCGCGGGCCGGAGCGGGCCGGGCCGGGCGCGCGCCCAGGCCGCCCCCGGGGCCACGCCGGGGCCACTCGGAGGTGAGGCCCGCCCTGCCCTCGCACCGCCCCCGGCGGGAGGCGCGCGACGCCCGGGCCCCGGGTGCGTGCGCGGCCCCGGGCGACGCGGCTGGGCGTGCGCGGGGCCGCGGTGGAGGCAGGGCCGGGCGGGCGGCAGAAGATGGCGAGGGTGTGTAGGCGGCAGCAATGCTCCGTTGAGAGACGCGGCTTTCGGCAAGAACTGGACTCGTGGCGCCACAAGCTCATTCACTGTGTAGGTGAGGGCCTCCCCCCGCGCGGCCGCCTCGGGCTCTCGGGCCGGACGTCCCGCCCGCGGCGGCCCGGCGCTCGCGAGGCAGCGCCCGGGCGCCGGCGATTTGCCGCCCCGGCCGGCCCGCCCTCCGCGGCTCGGGCGTCCCCCCCTCCCCCACCCCCCGGAGAGTGCGGCGGGCGGGCGGGCGGGCGCGCGCGCGCGACCTCCGGGCGGGCTCCGGGGCGGCCGGGCCCGCCGGGCGCGCGCCCGCCCGCCCCTCCCCTCCCCTCCCGTCCCCTCCCCTCCCCGCGCTCCCCGGGGCGGGCTCTGAGGCGGGAGCGCGGCCCCTCCCCCTCCCCCTCCCGCGCCCGGCCCGGCCGCCCGGCGCCGCCGGCGTCCCCGGCTTATTGTGGAGACTCGCCCCGCCACGGCGCTGCCACTTGACCGGGGCGCGCCGCCGCCGCCGCCGCGCTCGGGAGGGTGGGAGGGTGTTGGGGGGACGTTCCCCCCCGTCGCTCCGCGCCCCCAAGTCGTCCCCTCCGACCCGCCGGCGCTTTCCCTCTCCCCTCCGCACCTCCCCCCTCGCCCACCCCTCCCCTCCCCTCCTCCTCCTCCTTCGCCCCCCCGCTCCTGCCCGACTCCGGGTCGCCCCTCCCCCACGCGCGGCGGTCGCGCGCGCGCCCCGGCCCCGCGAGCACGCGCGGCGGGCGGGCGGGCGCCGGGCGCTCTCGGGCGTGTGCGAGGCGTGAGGTGGAGATGGGGGCGGAGGGAGCCGGAGCTGTCACCGGCCCCGGGTCCGCCTGAGCGAGCCAAGTGGGGTGTCATGGCCGCGGGGGGCAGCGGCTGCACTTCCTCGGCGGGCGGCGGCGGCGGCGGCGGCCGGGGAGTTCATCCTCGACGCTCGGGTCGGTGTGTGTGTGTCTATTTGTGTTCGGGGTGTGCGCGGCGGGGGTGGGTGGGGGCGGGTGGGAGCCGGAGCCGGGGGTGGAGGAGGAGGAGGAGGAGGCGGTGGTGGGGGGGCGGGATCGGGGGAGGGGGGTCGCTCTGCCGCCTCCGCAGCCCGCCCCGCCCCGCGAGCCCGCTCCGCTCGGGGGGCTTTTCTTCCCCGCGGGCCGGAGGGCGTGTGCGCGGGGGCGCCCGGGAGGGGCCGGGCGGCCGCGCTGCGCTGCGCTGCGCCTCCCTCTCACACTGTGTGTTTTGTCTTGTTTTTTTCTCTCCCAAGGTCCCGTTTCCCTCTGTGCGGCGGCCGGCGGGACCTTAAGGGCTTAGCTCATATATTTAACCCCCCTCCAAAAAGTAAGTGGCCCGTGTGGTGTCTCCGCTCCGCCCGCCGCCCCCCGAGCCCCGGTGCGTCCCCGCGGGTGCCAGGCCGGCCCCCTCCAGCTTTGTTATTTCCCCATCTCGGCCGCGGGGGCCCGGCTGATGTGCGGGCCGAGGCGCCGCCAGCGCTCGTCGTCGTTGTCGTCGTCGTCCTCGTCGTCGTCCTCGTCGTCTCGGGTCCCCCACGCCCAGTCCTCCGGGAGGCCCCGCGTCGCCGCCGCCTCCGCCCGCAGCGGCAGCAGCGCCCGGCCTGGCGGGGAGCGCGGTCGGTCGGGCGCCCCGCGGTCCCCCGCCGCCGCCGCCGAATCGGGGCGCTGCTGCTGGGCGGGCGCTCGCTCGCTCGCTCGCTCGCTCGCGGGGCCCCTCGTCCCCTCCTTCCCGACTGGGGTTCGTTGGAAGGAATTATGCAAATCCTGCTTTCTGGTGTCCATTCAGCGGCAATTTCATGCGGTGAGAAGTTCTCTTTGTTGTGCGAGGGGGAGAACAGACACTGATTTAATAGACATATCTGTCGGGTGGGGGGAAGGGTGGAGGGGTGCGGAGAGGCGCAGTTTGGAAGAATTACAGCAGCACTGGCTCCCTCGCTCCGCGTCTTTGTGTCGGAGCTCCCCGGCTTGACAGGAAGGTTCTGCCCTTTACGTGTCCCGCCAGGGATGTGCTCCGCGGTGGTGGACGGGGGAGGGGCTGGGGAGGGGGCGGAAAGGCGAAGCTCAAACTTTAAAGACGCGAGACCCGGCGGCGAGGAATATCGGGGAAGCCTTTGCGTTTCTGCCGGGCTTCTTGGAAATGCAGATGCCTGCGAATGAATTTGATTTTTTTTTGGGAAATGAGACGCACATCCACATACCATAGGCAACAAAGCTTATTATAACCTGATAACACTTTGGTTGTCCAAAGGTTAAAAGTACGTTTTAAAGCATATGCTTCGGTAAATAATAAAGGCATGAATCATTTTTGGGGTGTAATTTGTCATACGGGTAGATTTAAGTTGGTTCCCCCCCCCCCCTTCTGTCTGTCCAAGTCTTTCTTAGATCTGCCCTTCAGGAATCTTTGGGTTTTCAGTTATCCGTTACTGTTTTGTTTGTGCTTGCTGTTACCCTTTCAGACCTATGGTGTGCTTGCTAAAATGGTAAAGCAACTTAAACACTATTTGAATTATGTACTTGTAAGAGTTTATGGGTAGTAGGTTTAAGAAGGAAGAAATAGTAAGTTTTCACAACTGTGAATTACTTAGAGACCTGCAGTTGCCTTGAAAAATTTTTCAGTTCTTGTATTTGTACTTTTTTTTTCACTTTTTTTTTAGTAGAGCTTTTTTCGTTTTTTTAAAATTTTGACTGTCACCCAGTCAATTAGATTTTCTTTCACGTTTTTGTACTCTGACCCGGTACATTTTAAAAATTGTTGCTTTAGATTGATAGTTTTAATGGGTTATTTACCTTATTCAAATTTTGTTGCCTTAAATCTTTGCCTTCTGCCTCATCCACCTTTTTTTTTAATCCGTTTTGACTAGTGTTAGTGGTTTGTTGCTTCCTGCAGACAAGATTTTTTAAAAAGTATATATAAGTTTTTCTGTACATTTCTGAATTGAATATTAAAATTTAGTTTCATTCATCTCTAAGAATTTTAATTTGATGATTGGCTTTTCCACACCATACTTTTAACTCCAAATTTCCATTTTAAAAGTAGAAAAGTTCCAAATTTCCAAAGTGGTAAAGTTCAGGAGATATTTAGTGTCCAGAGTGCAGAGTAGTAGGTATTTTAATCTGAGCAGTAATGTATTTGATAGCTTTCCAGCTGAAATCAATTGGTTCTTTTTTTTTTAATCATTTGTAATTTTCTTCTGTAAGGAGGATACTTCTAAATAAATTATTGTAGTGTTTATTTTAAAGGACTGGCAGTGATCTTTCGACAATCCAAAAGGCAACTGTGTGGGTAACTAGCAGATGTAATAATTCAGTATATTTTAATGGGATTGGTTCTGAGCAGTTAATTTTGTATTTGGTTCTGTTGAATGATGTGTATTTACAGGTCTTTTGGCTTCTAAGTGATATTAATTTATAGCAGTTTTTGTGTTTTAAAGTAAATTCTCATTTCTAAGATCTAATCCCCCTCCACTTTTGTGGGGGATGGGAGAGTGATAGAAAGGTGAGGTGGAGGTGTTCATGGTTCTGTCATTAGGTTTTAGTTGAATTTGGCCGTTGGTAGCAGGGTCAGGTGGTGATTATGATCAAGATGGATATTTGGTAACCAGGTGATAATTGAGGTGCCCTCTGGGACTGGGATGATCAGTTCAGAGCTGAAGAGGATACAGGTTCACTGCTGCATTGTGGTGTAGAGCCTGTTGCGCCTCACCTTTGGTCTGTTCTCAAAAGCTCTTCCAAACGTGGAGAAAGTTGTGATTTCTGCTGAGCTCTAGTTCTTGCTAAAATGTTAATCTGAAAAAACATGGAATAAGTCTCTTTGCTCCAGCGGGCCCAGTAACGTCTCCATTGGAGACTTTGTTGTTACTGTGTTTGAGTAACTTAAGGGAATTATTTCAGATTGTACTCAAGTCCCTCAGCTTTGCTTGTAGCTGGAGCTAGCAATTCTAGGAAACCTAAATACTTTTTGTTACTGCCTATGTTACTAGGGGTGATGGCCTGGAATTTCTTCCAAAGTGAGAATTAGGTATTCAGAGTCAATGGGAACGTGTCATTTCTGAGTACCTGTCTGATCACTTGGGTACCTGTATCAGTGCTGTTTTTAGGAAGGAAAGGTAAGAAAGTTAGATGAGTATATCATTTAAGATTTTATTAAGCATCGACCTTGTACCTAGCACTCTGGGCAAAGATATTGGGGGAGCTGCCCTAACTTGTACAAGCCCGGTCCTTTGATAAGTATGCAGTATGTTCCATTAGTGAATAAGGCAGAATGATGCATGAGAAGTAAATGAGCAAAAATGGAAAAGGACAATGAATAAAGGAACGAGCTTATGAAAGGACAATGAGTTATTGACTTCTATAGGCAACTTCTAGGTGATAAGCTTACAAAAATAGGCAGTTTTTTTTTTTTTGGAGTGGGGTGGGGGCCACACCCAGCAAAGCTCATGGCCTACACCTACCTGAACCCGTTAGTTATGTGCAAAGAAAGCATCCTACCTGCTTTTATATATCTCTGGCCCCAATACAGTTTTCTTAATGTGTTTTTTTTTAAAAAAAAATAAGGTCAGGGACTGGAGCAATAGCACAGCGGGTAGGGTGTTTAGCTTTGCATGCAGCTGACCCAGGTTCAATTCCCAGCATCCCATATGGTCCCCTGGGCACCGCCAGGGGTAATTCCTGAGTGCAGAACCAGGAGCAACCCCCATGCATCACTGGGTGTCACCCCCCTGCCCCCCAAAAATATAGGTCAACTTGGGGTTGTTCCCTTTACTTCAGGATTCCATCTTGGAATTCTAATGACAGATTTTGTTTTTAAAATTATCTTAATAGGAAAAATTTTGTCTCATCAAAATCATTTGGAGGCTCTCTGTTTCACTGTACAGAATATTTTTGGAATCGCCTAAAAGTAGTAGCTTATTTTTTGGATATCATTAGTACTGGCACATTTTCATCTCACGAAGTCAGATTTGGTATTTGGGAACAGTCAAAAGTATTCTTGGTAGTAAATAAAGGCAGTATAAAAGAATAAGACTGGTTTTCTTTTCTGGTTTGCAGACTGTCTTTG